ACCTTTTCAAAGAACCAACTCCTAGTTTTGTTGATAGTTTCGATTGTTTTACAGTTTTCTATTTCATTTATTTCTGCTCTAATTTTTATAATTTCGGTTTTTTTAGAGGGTGTCGGGTTTTCTTGCTGCTCTTTTTCAATTTGCTGATAATGTTGAGTTAGAGAATCAGTGGTTAATTTTTCTTGCCTTTTGATGCGTTCCACCACTACTTTTAAATGATGGGTTCCATGAGTCAGTTCTCTGAAATGTTAAAAGCAGTTTCCTTTGATTTATTAATTTTTTTAAAATATGTTTTAAGGAGCCCTTGTGGTATAGTGCATAATATGTTGGGTTGCTAACTGACAAGTCTGTAAACTTTCATTCACCAGCTGCACTGAGGATGAAAGATAGGCAGCCTCTTCCCATAAAAATGTGTAGCCTCAAAAATCTGATGATGGGTCATCATAAGTCAGAACTGACTTAATGGTGGGAAGTTTAAATTTTGGTTTTTATCAATTATGTGTATGATTTTTAAATTTTATTAATTCTAATGTTTTTCCTTAGCTCCAGAATGTAAGCAGATTGAAACCACTTCAAGATTTAACCTCTCTGATCCTAATTGAAAATCCAATTGTGGCTCTTCCTCATTACCAGCAATTTACCATTTTCCATCTCCGTTCATTGGAAAGTTTGGAAGGTCAACCAGTTACCACTCAGGATCGACAGGAGGCTTTTGAGAGATTCAGTTTAGGTATGAGGATGTTTTAAAAGAAGCATGTTTGGTTAGGATAAGAACTTATTTTTTCAGAAATTGAGCAGAAAAATATATTGTGAATTTAAAATGCTATTTATTACCTTTGCATGAGAAATGATACTTTTAACTAACTCATTTAACAAGTGGTTTTTGAGCCACACATTGTACTTGGAACTAAAAATATAATAGTAACAAGGTATATGATACTGGACTTCATACAGCTATGGGGAGAAGACAGACAAAACCCAAGTAAATGTAGCTTTTTACTATGTTTTATTGTATTTATTATTATCTATTACATTTTATTTTCATTTTTAATAAAAATTTTTATTTTAAAATTTTGTGAATAATGAATGATAAAGGAATACTTCTAATGAATTAATACTTAAACTGAAAGCAAAATAAAGGAAGGTTAACCATGGAGGGATGGTATTCAGGAGAGATAGTAGCTTGTCCTTTGAGATTGGAAAGACATGAATGAGTTCAGGGATCTGAAAGAAGACTAATGTAGCTGGGGAATAGCTCAGGAGAAGTGTGGAGAGAAGGTGGGGTAAGATACGCAGAGTCTGATAATTTGAATTTTATTTCAAGTGCAGTGAGAAGCCATTGGTCATTTATTAGCAAGAGTAGGAGATTAGCAACTATGGTGCACCTGATCCAAGCCATGGTCTTTGTAATTACTTGATATGCATCACAGAATTGGACAATGAATATGGATGATAGAAGAATCAATACCTTTGAGTTGTGATCCTAGAGAGTATTGAACATACCATGAACTATTAAGAGAGCAAACAAGTCTATCCTGGAGAGGATAAAAACAGTTTGCTTTTTGAAGGCAAGAATTTTGAAGCTCTGTCTCACATACCTTGGGCGTGTTGCCAGGAGGGACCAGTCGTTGAAGTAGGACATCATGCTTGGAAGGGTGGAGGGACAGCAAAGAGAAGAAGACCCTAGATAAGATGGAATGACACAGTAACTGGGGTAATGGGGGTAGATGTGTTGGAAACAGTGGAATTGGCTCAAGATAGTGCGCGGTTCAGAGCTGTTGTACAGAGGGTTATTGAGTCACAAGCCACTCAACAGCAGATAACAACAACAACAGATGATCAAGTTTATTGAGATCATTTTTGATACAAAGTAGAGATTCTCTTGAGGCAGGACAAAAATGAACATGAAAGGACTTGTTTTTTTTTTTTTTTTAAAGGACTTGTTAAGAGGCTATTTCAGTACTCCAGTATAAAAATACTAATATCTGTATTTAGGAATTACTTGGAGATGGAAAAAAGATGGAGTATTTTAGAGCAGATTTGGAAGTAAAGTAGAGTAGTTTTCAGTGGATTTGGTAATTCCTAGACCGGGAATAAGTACTTGTAATGGTGATATCATTTATGGTTGAGGAATAATTCTTTTATAAGAATCAGTATTCTTGTGAAGTAGAGGTTAAAGATGTACCAAATGTCTAACATCTTCAAACTTCTATACCACTCTGTGATCTCTAACACCAGTTATTCCTCCTCTTGGCTTTGGATTCAGTAATTTGTTGCTATTTCTCATGAACTCGCAAACTGTCCTTATAGATTAGTGGTTGATTAGGAAAGTAACAGGAATCTTGTGATCAAGATCAACTTAGAAATAACAGAAAATACCTAGATCATCTTGGGAATAACAACTCAGGATGCAGTTTTTGGTCAGAGTAGCTTCTTTTCATTTCTGCTGCTGACCCTGTAGGGACTTTTGCTAGGCAGATATTAAGAGTTCATAGTTTTGCGGGTCAGCAAACTCAATGGCAGCCATCTCTGGTCTCTCTTGGTTCCTGCCTTCTGGCACCTGTATAGCTCTTGATATTTCTGCACTGCTCTTTCTTCCTGTCTTCGATTTTAAAGCTCCTTCTCTCTCTCTCTCAGTATCTTCCTTTAAAATCTCTTTTAGAGAAACTGATTATATAGTGAGCTTCTTAGTATTTTAAGGCTATATCCACACCAAAGCCACAAACTAACCTATTGTTTCCAAGGGTTACATATTTCTTATTTCTATTAGCAGACTGTCTGATCCCCAAAAAGTATCTAGTCTTCATCATCTCATCTAATCATTTTGTGGAAGATATAATGTGTGGTGAGATGGTCTATATAGAGTTATTAAGAGCAATGCATATATAACAAAGAGAATTTTGTTTTGGAATACTGAGTTGGAAATGTAAAAGTACTAAGTAGAACTGCTGTTAGCTGCTATCTAGACATTCATGTTATGCACAATAGAATGAAACACTGCCAAGTCTTGTGCCATCCCATGGTTGATTGTGAGTTATACTCTTGTGATACAGAAAGTTTGTACTAGCAGATTTTTGGAAGTAGATTACTGGGCCTTTCCCTCTAGTTTTTCTTAATTTGGATGCACTGCTTAAATCTGATTAGCATCATAGCAACAAGCAAGCCTCCACGGATGGGTGGATTGTGGCTACAGATAATGTGCTTAACCAAGAATCAAAGGGTCTGTTTGGAAAGCAAGAATTCTACCACTGAACAGCCATTGATGGAGGTCAGATCAAAGATGAGAACTAGAGATATATATTTGAGAATCATCCTCATAAATATGATGCTCAATTCACTAGGAGTTGATTAAACCAGTCAAATAGGAATTGGGAAGAAAAGCAGGAGGAGTGAGGTAAGAAGACACAGAAGACGAGACTAGCACGTTAGGAGAAAACCAGGAAATAATGAGTTTCAAAAGCCCAAGAGAAGAGTTTCAAGAGAGAAAGTGGTCAGCCATGTTCAGTGTTGCTGAAATAGGAAATAAGATAAACACAGAATAGTATTAGATCACTTTAGATTAGCAATAGATGATGAGGATCTTGATAGGAGCAGGTTAGGGCACGTTGGAAACACATTCTAAATTATAGTGGATTGGAGAATGAATGGGAGGCAAATATTGAGTGAAGTTTGGAATTTCCTTCTAGAATTTCATTTCCTAAGACCTAAGGCTCCTTTCTTTCCTGTATTTTCATTACCTTTTGCCTTCTTCATGTATGATGTCCTTGATGTCATCCCACAGCTTGTCTCTGGCCGTACGAGAGTTCATTCAAATATCACATTTGTTCGTTAGCTTAGGCTAGCACTGCAACCCTATAAGGACTATTCCACCAGAACTCCTTCAAATCTGTTCTTGAGATAGTTTTTCTGTTCTGGTGGGATAAACTCAAGATCATGCTTTGGCTCTCATGGACTTGTTTTAATATTTTTCAGTTCCATTTTTAATTTGCATGTGAGTAACTGAAGGCCTGGTCAACCGTGGCCTAATTTTGACTGCTGAGGTGCTGTTGGGTACACCTCGTAGTGATCCTGTGAATATGAATATGAACCTTGCCCTATCCATTGACTTCCTCGTCATCTCTGATATATTTGAGACCATTGTTCCAGTCACTGTGTTAGTTCATATTGTTGAGGGTCTTCCTGTCTTACGGACACTCTTCCTTTTGGAAGGACCAGTCCCTCCTAACAACATGCCCAAAATATGTGAGATGAAGCTTCACCATCCTTGCCTCCAGGGAGCATCCTGGGTGTGCTTTTTTTTTTTCTCAAGATCTGTTTGTTTCTTCTTTTTGTCAGTCCGTTGAACACCACAACTCAAAAATATTGCATCTTCTTTCGTTCTTAGTCATTGTCCAAATGAACCATATAATGCAGTTTCTGCTTTCATGAAAGCAGACAACCATGCTATTTGTTTACATTTACAACTTTAATGACAAAGGGTCACAGTAGATATAGAGGGCATCCCAGAGAAACATCTGATCTCAGAGTGGAAAGGCTAAAAACAGAATTCTCAAGGTGGTTTTAAAAAACTGAGATCTAAAGGATGCAAAATAGTTCTGTAAACTCGGACAGAAGGTAAGAATAAAAAAGTCTGCACATGAGAAAAAACATGTTGAAATCTGAAGAACTAGAATAATTTCAGGAAAGCCTAGTAGGTTATCCTTGAAGATGAGGCTTAAGAGGGAGATCAAGGCCAGATTATGAAAAATATTGTCAGATTCTCATTTAAGTTTTTGCATCTTATACTAAAAGCAATATAAAGCGTTTGAAGGGTTTTAAGGTAATAGTGTTTTGAAAATACACTTGTAGCATCCTTTAAAATGCAATTACTAATACCAAAATACTGTGTTTTCTAAAGGGAAGCAGGTAAATCCTCATCTTAGCAACGGTAACTGAATTAAATTCATGGAAGTATAATGTTAGCTTTTAAAGTTTAATAAAAATGGTAATACCTTCTTAGATCTCTGGCGGTCTAGTAGCAAGAAGCTTTGCTGCAATACTGAAGGCATGAGGTTCGAGACCACCAGCTGCTCCATGGGAGAAGGATGGGCAACCTCCTCCCATGCAATTAAATGCCTCTGAAAACTCGCTGTAGGCTCAGCTATGGGTCAGTTCCGATGACCCAACAGAAAACAACAACAACAACAACAATGCTTTTTTACTTCCCTTAGTATAAAGCAGTTTGAAGATAAAGATAATTTGGTTTAATTTTCCCCCCCTAAGACTGTAGGACTAATACTTAATGTACAATTGTATTTATACTTTTATTATTATTATTAATTTTAATGAAAATTTACAGAGACTTTGGATTTCCATTCATTCATTGTTGAACTTTTCTCCCTGCCTACCCCTCCCCCCCTCCAGTACACTCTACTCTTTGAAAAGTAAAAGAAAAATTCTTTCATTGTTTTACAGTCCCTCTCCCCAGGTCCACTCCACTATGCAGCCTTCGTTTTGGACTTCTGTCATTACAATAATACCTAATCACCTATCCCTTTTAAGCAGTTTTCTCCCTCATCTGTTTCAATGCAGTAAACATTATTTATCCCATCCTTTTCAGTCTCCCCCTAATCCCAATGTCAGTCTTGTTTTACAACAGTGGCACTATGCAATATTTGTCCTTTTGTGACTGAGATATTTCACTCAGCATAATGTCCTCCAGGGTCACCCATTTTGTATAATATTGAATGAGTTCCTTGTTTTTCAATGCAACGTAGTATTTATTCCATTGTGTGAATATACCACAGCTTCTCTATCCATTCACTTGTTGATGGGCACTTAGGTTGTTTCCAACTCCTTGCTATTGTGAATAAAGCCACGATAAACATGGGTGTACATATATCTGCTTGGGTGGAAGTTATGGTCTCTTTGGGGTATATTTCCAATAGTGGAATTGCTGGGTCAAATGGTATTTCTATTTGCAACTTTTTGAGAAAGCGCCATACCGCCTTCCACAGTGGTTGCACCATTTCACATTCCCACCAACAGTGAATAAGGGTTCCAGTTTCTCCACAACCTCACCAGCATTTGTTGCTTACTGTTCTGTTAAATTTTGCTATTCTGACTAGGGTGAGATGATATCTCATAGTTGTTTTGCTTTGCATCTCTCTTAGAGGTAGGGATTTTGAACATTTCTTCATGTGCTTGTTAGTCATCTGAATATCTTCTTTGGTGAAGTATCTGTTCATATCCTGTGCCCATTTTTCTATTGGATTATTTACCTTTATCTTGTTGTGGTCACTATAGATTTTTATTCTATCAATTGCTTTCTTAAATTTCCACCAACAGTGGATAAGGGTTCCAGTTTCTTCACAACCTCTCCAGCATTTGTTGCTTGCTGTTCTGTTAAATCTTGCTGTTCTTACTTGGGTGAGATGATATAGTTGTTTTGGTATTTACACTTTTCTAAAGGCTTCTTTTGCTCTTGTTTTATTGGGAGATATTTTGCCTTTTACTAGGAAACATAATAGTAAATTAACCATTGGATTTGTATTGCCAGAAGAAGTAGAAAGACTAGAAAGAGACTTGGAAAAAAAGATGATGGAAACTGAAGAGCTAAAGAATGAACAAATAAAGTTCCTTGAGGAAATAAAAAACCAAGATAAACTGAACAAGTCATTGAAAGAGGAGGCTGTGCTACAGAAACAGAACTTTGAGGAGCTAGAGAGTGACTTAAACACAAAGAATGAATTGGTAAGTCCTTATATTGCACCACCATGAACATAAGCTTCTAAGATGGAGAATTTGTTGCCTTTTTGGGTTATAGACTGGAAATTGTGTAACATGACTGTCCAGAAATATTGTTTTGGGCTGTATTTCAAAGCCAAGTGTTCAGAACCAGTGAGAAGGATGAATGAAGCTCTATACCTCTGAGGAGTGATCAAACTATACCTCGATCTTTATATTTATTTAAAGCAACAATGTTCTTTGTGGGACTGAATATTGTCAAAATCTTTTATAAGGTAATTTGGCAAAATGATCCAAATCTTTGACAGACATCAGAGATTCCATTTCCATGAATATATTCTCTAGAGTTAGTAAATAGAATGTATAAAGATCACACATATACATACCTTTATAGAGATATATGCAAAGATATAGGGAGAGTTTATATAAAGGTATTCACTACAACATTGTTTCTGTTAGCAAAGAAATGTCTGTTGAGTGGGAAGAATAAGACTAATCTCAAAGTGAGAAATTTAGAGGACATCCATATGGTAGAATAGTATTTCTAATAAAAGGAGGTAGAGCTGTATATCCTGACATAGAAGGATACATAAAAACATACTGCTTTGTGGAAAAAAGCAAGTGTTAAACAGCTTCATATAAAAATAGCTATGTATGCCAGGAACAAGTCTAAAGTTTCTGTACTCATTTTTTTGTTCATGGATGATCAATGAATACCCCCATTATGTTCTTTTTCATCTCTTCATTTTCCTTGCCACTTCTTAACTGTCGATAAAATAAGTTGATGATGACAATGGCACACATACAAAAAATATATCTAAGTATGTAAAGGGAACAATGATAGAATGCACACAGTGTAGCTTTCATAGAACACTTTCAGTTTATCATTTGGGGTTGTCTGGTTAAATTTTATGTAGTTTGGCTTAAAGATTGAAACCAGAAAAAAATATGTTAATAAATAAAATGTGTTCTGAAAGTTACTGTCAAAGAGACTTCAGAGTTCTTGAGACCACATTTTATGAAGAATAGTTAACAGAACATATCCAAGCTGGAATGGAGACTTAGGGAGTATGATAAATATGTTCAGATACTCCAAGGGCTGTTTTCATGGAAGAGACACTAGAATTATTTACTAAATAGGATAGAATTAAGACTCATTCTTAAGACTCAGTGAATGATATTACAGGAAAACCAGATTTCATTTAGGAATGATGAAAAGATATCTAGAAGACATAAAATGTGATAATTTGGGATGATTTTTCTCTCACTGACAAGGCAAAAATTGGTTATATGCTTAAGATTTGAGATGAAAGATTAGTCATTAGGGCCTTAAAGTCCAGAGAATCTGATTCTTTAAAATTATAAGGCTACTTTCCTTGGAGGAAAGAATAACTTCTGATACTTTCTCTTCTCACTCATCTCCAGCAATTTATTTTAATCTTTGCATAATTTAGAGAATCATAATTCTCTTATAATTAATAGAATCTTAGATATAGTTATTTTCTTTTATGTTTCCCTTTCAAGATTGTCAGTCTTGCTTAATTACTTGCTTTGCTGACAAGAAGAATTCTACCTAATTACTTATTTTATTAACAAGAATTACATCTCTGCATTCTTCTTTGTGAGTGGGGCCTGCAGTCTAGAAGGGAAGTTGTTGTTTGAAATATACATACTTAACAGCCTCCTTCTTGAGCTCTTCTTTGCCTGAGAAAAAAGGTAATTTATACCAGGGGGTCACAATGAAAAAATAGGAAGCTATTCCCCAACTCTGTTATTTATTAAGAGCACTTGTGGCTTATTCTTGTGTTACTTATTTGAAGGTAGGTTTTAAATTTTTCAGCTGTATTATGAATATCAATAATAGCAATACTTCAGTAATTATTATAATGGTTTTAGATGATATGTATTTGTTATTCTACATTAATTTTAAAAAATAGAGTAGATTGTGAGAGTTAAATATTCTAGACTAGCATGGCAATTTCAGTAGTGAACTCTTATTGTATATCACATAAATTTGTGTTTAAAATATAGAAATAAAGAACAATTGTTGTTGTTGTTGTTATGTGCCGTCGAGTCACCTGCGACTCATACAGTTATGATATTTATCAATATTTAATAAACTTTCCAGAATTATAAATCTTCTTGAAATATGGGATTCATCTTTTACTTCTGAGATTAAAACTTTATAATTTCCTTATGCTGACTCTCTGCCACAGAGTTAGCTCATCTTCATTTTTTTTATTTTATTGGTGAAGTTTTACAAATCTCATTAGTTTTCATATAATCATTCCTAGTTGTTTTGTTTTACAACATAATTTGGTTTGATTAATGTAGTTAATTTTCATTTCATCAGCTGTTTATTGTATATTTCCTTTCTCTTTGTCCAATTTACCTATTTCTTCATTTTTGTCCTCTTCTTATCCCTGGTATCCCTCCAAGATTGATTCTGTGTATAAAACTTTCACTTAACTTTTTATAAAGTAATCTTATACCATAATTGTCTGTTACTGACTTATGCCGTTAACCATACTTTGTCCTAGATTAATCCATATTGTGCAGTATTTCATGATTTTTTTTAATGGTGCATAGCTCTTCTAAAGTATTGGTAAGGTTAGGGGCTAAGGAGTTTAGAACACATGAGTGAAACAGCTAGGACAGAGATGAAAAGAATTGCTGGCACATTGTGGAGAATGTAACCAGTGTCATTCACTGTTCTATCTAGAAATTGTTGAATGCTAGCAGGTTTAAAAGTTAGTTGGGCCCTGACGAAGTCTCCAGTGTGGAGGCTCATGTAAAGCAGTTGGATTCTGGATGGTAGGTTCTCTAGATTTAGTTGAGAATTGGGTATAAGCTATTTAGTGTTAACAATTGTGTTTGAGCTAATTTGTTGTTTAAATTTAGCTAACAAACAACTGTGGGCTGGAAGCCTCTTGTTCAAGTCTATCAGGACCTGGTATTTAGAAGTCACTTGGTCTGGATTGGGCCCTCCGGGTGGGGCCTTGGGCCTACTGTTAATTATGTTTGGGAGGAACATTGTTCTAAGTAGTACCAGCACTGGTCTGTCAGTTTACTGAACTGAGACAACTTGGGGTTGATGTGATACTGAATGTTGTGCCACTGATCTGTCAAATGCCATAATGGTTACTTGGAAGCAGGATTGGCATCCACTTCTTAAACAACAGGCCTTTGGAAACTATGAACATTAGAGAAACGATGATAGTTCTAGAACAGGGTTCAGATCTTTTGTTCATGGGGTCACTATAAGTCTCCATGGTGCTTAACAACAAGCAGTAGCAACAATACTCCGTTGTGTGAATATACATAGTTTGTTTAGCCATTGATAAGAACTTTGATTACTCCCAATTCTTTGCTGTTATTTAGAAATAATGCAGTAAACATGGCTATGTGTATTGTTACTTTTTCTTACTGGTCTTGTTTTATTGGATATTTACTTAGTAGTGGCATTGCTGGATCAAGTGGTATGACAGTGTCAAATTGCTTTCCATAGTGGCTGCACCTTTTTACCTTCCTGCTAGCAGTAGTTGAGAGTTCTAATCTCTCCTCACACTTTCTAGCATTTATTGTCTTCTGTTTTGTTGAACTTTGTTATTGAGTGAGATGACATTTTATTGGAGAGTCAGCCCATTCCTCAGTCTGTTGAGAAACTGTACAAATTTTCACATTCTAGTTCAACAATCTGCGTTATGCAGATGACACAACCCTGCTTGCTAAAACAGAGGAGGACCTCATGCAATTACTGCAGAGGGTCAAGAACTGCAGCCTTCAATATGGACTGAGGCTCAATGTCAAGAAGACAAAAATTCTCACCACTGGACCAATCGGTAGCATCAGGATGGATGGTGAAGAGATTGAGATTGTTCACAGCTTCAGTTTGCTCGGCTCCACGGTCAACACTCTTGGCACCAGTAGCCAGGAAATCAAAAAAATGTATTGCGATGGGAAAGTCTGTGGTCAGGGACCTCTCTAAAGTACTCAAGAGCAGTGGTGTCTCTCTGGAGACTAAGGTGCGCCTGATACAGGCCATGGTTTTTGCAATCACTTGTTATCCATCAGAGAGTTGGACAATGACTAGGGAGGATAGAAGGAGAATTGATGCCTTTGAGCTGTGGTGCTGGAGAAGAGTATTGAATGTACCATGGACTGCCAAGAAAACAGATTCATCGTAGAGAAGGTTAAACCAGGCTGCTCCTTGGAGGCAAGGATTCTGGGGCTTCATCTGACATACTTTGGACATGTTGTAAGGAGAGACAGGTCTTTAGAGAGGGACATCATGCTGGGTAGAGTAGAGGGACCAGCGCAGGAGGGGAAGACCCTCTATGAGGTGGATTGATTGAGTGACTGGGGTAATCGGGATGGGTGTGTCAGAGGCAATGAGATTGGCCCCGGATAGAGCAAGGTTTAGGGCTGTTGTACATAGGGTCGTTATGAGTCGCAAACGACTCGATGGCACATAACAACAACAACAACAGTTCAAAATTTTAGACTGTTATAGTTGACTACTTTTCTTTTGGAATTAAAATATTATTGATACGCTTATGCTGTGAATAATTGCTTTGTAAATTTTCAATCATTTTTGGTAGATTTTTGTAACTGCTTTTGTAGATGACAGGTTTTACTCCTTTCAATGTTTTAACCATTTAGACATATTTTATATGTAAAATTAACACATATTTAATATAAGATTAAATATTATAATAATTAAGATAATACAGTAGAAAATGAAAGTCCATCTTTCTCCACTTCCATTCCATGTGTGTTAATACATAATTAAAGATATATGTGCTCTTGAACAGCATTCCTAAAACAATCAACTCTGAGAGATTGAACAGCAAAGCAAAGATGGAAAGACAGAAAAGGACAGGGAAAGTAGGAATAACTAAGGACCAGAGAGTGCTTTTCCTTTGTGGGAGTAACAGCCTGTGTCAAGGAACAGTTTGTAAATTTTGAATGGGAAACTATTTTGCTTAAATAAACTTTTACCTAAAACACAGTAAAATGTTTTTTAAAAGACATATACCTTTATATATGTTTGTGAGTGTGTGTGTGTGTACCGTCAAATCAGATCTGACTGGTACAGGAGGAGCTTGTCCCTCCTTCTCCAGCAGAGCATTTGGTGGATTCGAACCACTCACCTCTGGGATTTCAGTGCAGCTTCTTGCCCCTAGGCCACCAGAGCTCACCTGTTTGTGATTTTAAAAAACAAAATGCAGTATTATTGTTTACTTTTCACATAACAATATATCATGAATGACTCTCCAAGTGTTTAAATATGTTAATATACCTCTTCCTTACTCTTTTTAAAGGCTTTATAGTGTTTCCATTATATGAATCCTCCATAATTTATTTAACTTAGTTCTGTATATGAATATTTAGATTACCCATAGTTTTCTGCAGTTAAAGTGAGTGATACAGAAAAATCGTGGAGCATATGTGTATGCGTATCCTTATGCATTCATACTAGTGTTATCTTTTTTACTATAAATCTCTACAAGTGATATTATTACCAAATATGAATGTAAAATTTTGGTAAATATTAAATTAAAAAGCTTATAAACAACTTACACTCCTACAGTAAGGAGTAAGGAGTTTCCTGCTGGATTATTATTTTAAATTTGTAACTATGATAGAAAAAATGGAATTTCATTACTGTTTTCATTTTGCATTTCTTTAGTTGTGAGAAAGTGCCTTTGTGGTGTAATAAGCATGGGGATTGGGCCACTAACCAAGAGGTCCGCATTCTGAACTCACCATCCATTCTAAGAGAGAAATGAAACAGTCTGCTCCAGTGTAAATATTTATTTATAGTCTTGGAAACTCTGTGGGCTGTACTACATTCTGTAGTGATTCTGTGATTCAGAATTGACTTGATGTCAGTAAGTTTTAATAAATAGAGAATTTAAGTGTTGTTTATGCATTTAGGGCTGGTTGTGTTTTTGTGGTTTTTTTTTTAAAATTTGATAGTTCATATCTATTAACTGCACTTTTTTTTAGTCTTTTGTGTTACAGAAGATTTCTGAATCTTATTTTAAGAGCCTGCACTTGAAAAAGTTTAATGTTAGCATATGTAGAATATATGATGCTCTCATCTACAGTTGTATAGTACTTACTGGTTATCTTAGGTCAATTAATTGATAAAGTGTATGTATTACACTTGTATGTATGACACATACATACCTACACGTATGTGAGAAAGAAAGTTCTTAACAGTGAATTGAGATTTCTGGTTACCGTTTGAACTGTAATAATCATCCCTCTAAATATTACCTGAACTTACTCTTTGTTCTTAAAGTGATTAATCTGTTACATTCTATTTACTTGTTTTTAAAATGAAGATCGCTTCCTTTCTTGCCTGCCTCACAGTCTTGTGAGGATTTAGTGAGGGTAATGAAGTAGGAAATAATGTTAAATTATTCAGTTAAGTAATGGGAATTGGTAAATCTGTAACAACTACTAAGAGTGATGATTAATATATCCATATAAAAGTAATACAAATACTACCAGCTAAATCTTCCTAAAGTAAATTGCCAGTAAAACAGAATTTAGCAGCATGTGTTATTATAACTCTTTAGCATTCTCCAGATGACAGTCTCTTTGTTTCTTTTTCCTTTTTGGCATTGGTTTCTTGCAGGCCCCTTTCTGCTGATTCTTTATTCTTCTTTAAAGGTAGTTGTTTCAGGGCTGAACTGCACACTGTTCTTTTTCATGGTTTGCATGATAACTTGTTAATATGTTTGTTTTCCATTTTTAGTTTTGAAATTGGTTTGCTTCTGGAGAAATGTCCTTGTGTGTATCTCTTTAGTTTTGTTTTTAATAATTAAATACATATGATTGTAAATTTAGATGTGGGGGGAAGAATTTTTATCATTTTGCTAATTGGTAAATATGTTAACTGCAGTCTACTCATGATTATCCAGAGTAATGTTGTAACCAGCCTGCTTTCCATATCTTTTCAATTCATTTATTAGTCATTCATTTCTGCAGCTGACAATAATTGAGTGCTTACTATGTTAAAAAGCTACATGACAATACCAAAGGCATGTGGTTCGAATCCACCAGTTGCTCAGCAGGAGGATGGGCAATCTCCTTCCTGTGAGTAACTGCCTTTGAAAACCGGCTGGCGGGTCAGCTATGGGTCGGTTCTGACTCAAGGCATATAACAACAACGGTGCTAAAATGATGCAAAAGTACTTTGAAAAGCACAGAGTATTTATTATTTACTATTTTTCATGGTCAGCCAGATATGCCATTTATTTGACCTTTCTGCCAATGAGCTTTTAGAGAAAAGCCCAAGACAGTTGACACTTTTTTGAGTTTCTTTTTTTGAACCTTGGGGATGTTATAAGCAGTCAGTGAAAGCATCAGTGTGTCTAAGTATTCATTGAAGGCAGCATGGTAAAACAGGAGAAATCAGGAAAATCAGGAGATTTTGAGCTCTGTATTATACACTAACAACTGTTACTTAACTCTGTGCAACTTTTATTATCTTATAGAATAGTTTTTTAAGTTAGTAGCATAGCACAGCACATGTAAGATGCTTAGCTGGATTTTGAGCACATAGTGAGTACTCAGTTCATTTTATCTGTTACCCAGGCAAGCATTACTGCCACTTTGACAGATAATCAGGAGGGGACTGTAAGCTAGATTGTGCACGACCTTTTGAGTGTTGTAATATGTATGTTCCTTTAGATTTCCTTCTCTTCAGCTTGCATTTTTATATTTTAGTGACATTTTCCTGCATGTTCTTTGTCTAGTATCTTATTACCAGGAGTAGGCACAAAAAAATGAAAAGCATAAATCACTTAGTGGACCTTTGAAATGAACTCAAAGGACTGGTAGAAAGAAGATTATTTCAGATACGACTTAAAATATTTAGCTTGTATTCCTTATGTAATTTTGGACAAGCTCTTTCATGATTCTGATGCACAATAATTTATAAATCCAAAGAATTAGTTTGACTTCTTTCTCCAAGTTCTAAAATCTTTTAAAAATAATATATTTTTATATATTATATGCATGTTTCGATCTAGCTGAGCTTGGATTTATGTAAATCTCTTACATTCTGCGAAGAATTATGTTTTGAATACTTAAAATCAGCAATGTCATTAGCCACAAATAAAACAATTAGTTTTCTCTGCTTCTTACTGTGTACTTTTTTCCTAGTTAATGTTAAAATTATAATCTCCCCATGATTTGAAATCTTTTATAAAATCAAAGAATTTTTAATGAAATTATGCGAGTTACTGGGAAATCTGGAAGCAAGTTCCTAAAAGATCAGTTGACTTCAGAATCATTAATAGAGTTATTTTCATGTTTAGATAAAGCAAACTAAGGAATTTAAATATCCTTATTCATTGCAACCTAAAATTGTATATAAACTTCAAAGGTCTCATGTGATTTCTTTTGAAATTACAATTTTGTTTTATTAATCATAATTAAAATTAAAATAAATGCCCTGAATTTGTTCTATTTGATGTAATATTTTAATTTTCTAATTATTAGTTATGACTGACACTTGCTCTATTGTATCTTATACTAACTCATTGATACTGTATGTTATTTAATACTGGGCCAATAGCTAAAACAGAAGACTCTGGAATTATCCCGTGCTTGTCAGAAACAATATGAGCTGGAACAAGAATTGGCTTTTTATAAAATCGATGCTAAATTTGAGCCCTTAAATTATTATCCGTCAGAGGTGAGTTAACATTTTAGTATTCTCAAACTCAAAGCAAGATTGAAGAGGGGTGGGTAGAAGCATGTCAGAGATTTTTACCACAGGAGAGTAAATTGCATTTTGGCTGAATCTGTGAATTATCTAGGTCAGTGAGCTAGAGAAGTGCCCAAATAAAGTAAAACTCCAAGGAGATATTTGCCCACACTATATCCATAATCTAAGGCAGCTGTCTAACCCCATTTACCAGTATTAGGAGTGTGGTGCAAGCAGTTGCCTTCAGTATGTACTTTAGGAAAAATATACTGCCTGCTTCAGTGACCATAGAGTGATCATTTGCCTACATTGTTTTCTCAGTAATCACTAGATTTCATATTAACCATTACTGCTCCAAACAAGACACCCTTGTAGCATAGTCCATAGGGAGTTACACTGCTAACCCAAAGGCCATATGTCTGGTGGTTCAGATCTATAAGCAGTTCTGAGAAAGACAGGTGTGTAATCTCATCCCGTTCAATTAATGGCTTCCGAAAACCTGCTGGAGGATCAGGAGCATCAGCTATGAGTCAGTTCTGACTCGGTGGCCATGAGTTTGAGGGTTTTTTTCCTTTTTATTGTTACAAATGTCCTAAATGCCACTACAACAAGGGAAACATGTCTTAAGACCCATAATATTGATAGCATGTATTATTTAATTTAAAAATTCATTTTTAAAGTGTATTAAACTAAAATTTTAACTAAGCCAAGAAATCAACATAAAACAGTAAGATATCTTATTTTTAGAGATTACTGGTATTACTACTCACTGCTTTTGAGTTAATTCTGACTCATAGTGACTCTCCATTGGCCCTCTGAGGCTATAAATCTTAGTGAATTTGAACCACCAGACTTGTATGGCCTTTGGGTTAAAAGCACAACTCACTATGAACAACTTTATGAGAGTTCACCCTAACTGATAAGTGGTATTCAAAACCATATTATTGTGAGTGGTTCTTTAATCAGCCAGTCCAGATTCTTTTACTTCACACTTTTGGGATAGAAGTGTTCTTTTTCCGTTCTAATTCTTTGTTATATATTACAATAAAATAAAGAAATTACATCTATTTTTTCAATTTCTAGGCATGTAAATGGAATTGAATATAAAGTCTGGCAATTCTCTGTTATTTTTCCACTAATAAAATGAATAATATTATATAGTTGCTTTGGAATGATTTTGTGTACTATAAATCTATTAATTTTTTTTATTTTAGTATGTTGAAATTGATAAAGCCCCAGATGAAAGCCCTTACATTGGTAAATCTAGATACAAGAGGAATATGTTCACCACAGAAAGTTACATTCTTGATAATGCCCAGCCAGTACAGATCAGAACAATGGCACGAGATGAAGGGGAAAGATTCAGAAGTGAACAAGCTAACTTGAAAGCTCAAGTGCCACTGGACACACTGGATATACAACTGGAAGACAAAGAAAAACAAATAAGCACAGGTTAATAAAACATCCTAAATTCTTTAGAAAATACAAAATGACTGAATATGTACGTAAATTTTGTTTCATAGGATTATTTTTAAATTATGCACTCTATTTTTTTTTTGTTAAATGGAAATCCAAAAGGAAAATATTGATTCATCAAGAAAGGTATTTTTTAATATGACTGTTTAGAGTTGTAGGGAGCTCTGGTGGTCCATAGGAGTTGTGTTGCTAACCCAAAGGTGGTTAGAAAGTTTTACTTGATGATGGTTTTGATTGTAAATTGATAGTATGTCCAGAGGATCCAGATGCCACCAACTGTCCTCTCACCCCTCTAGAGCTCTACACACAAAGCCATAATTAGTAATAATGGAAGTACGTAAAGTAGTACTTTATTAATTGCTATGCCTGTAGCCAGAACCTAAATCAGCACTATGGGTAAGTTGGATCAGTGTCTTTAGCTCAGGCTGAAGGCTGACATTCTGCTAATCTACTCCCACACTTTACTTTCCCCTTCCATTCTCCCCCAACACTACCAAAGGCTGGGAGTGAAGGAGGTAGTTAATCCAGAGATTTTACCACTGCCTGGCAAAGTTACATGGTGGAAGACGCAAAGCCATGAAAGCACTTTAGTGACCCTGTCAGACAGACTTTTAATTCATTTATCCACTCAATTGCATAGATATGTAGACCTGAGTTGTTTGCATGCCACCAGTAATTGTGGTCACTAATTAATCAGGTTAGCTATTTATCTTCTTTAGTTGTTTGTTGTTGATTGCTGTTGAGTCAAGCACCACTCATAGTGACCCTATGAACAAAAGGCCTGAAGCCTTTGAATAACTGTCTCCATTTCTCAAAGTTCATAGAGTTTCCAGAGGCATGACTGATTTAGAAAGGGAGGAGAGGAGGGCTCGAGTTCTTCTTCTTAATACATATTATATTGAAGGAGAAAATATAAATCAGCTGAATGTGCAGACAAATTTTAAGGAGCTTAAAAGTTCTGTAGAAGTCAGGGAAGAAGAGAAAGAAGAGTAAGAAATCTGAAATAGTTAATTGATCTGAGATCACCTGTAACTGGAGGAAAATAATGAATTTCTTGATACTGAGCCCTATTAGATTTATCTTTAACATTAATATTTTAATACCCTATATCTAATTATGATTTGTTGCTGTTGTGTGCCATGGAGTTGAATCCTCCAGTGGGTTTTCAGAGACACAATGAATCACATGGAAGAATATTGCCCATTATTCTCCTTTAGAGCAGCTAGTGGATTCAAACTCCATGCCTTTGGTTTGGCAGCACAACAGTTTACCACTGAGTCACTAGAGCACCCTAATTATGATTTAGTAATATGTAAGTGCACAGTTGCCAGTTAAATTCATACTCCTTCAAAAAGATTTTCTGGTATTTGAAATACTAAGAATTTTTTATAAACTAAAGACTCAGTTACTATACTATACTGTAGCATGAAGTAGTTTCTTCAGAAGCTAATAGAGATGAAAAACCATAAGTTCGTTTTTAATTCTTGTGATCTATATTGAAGGAATTTAGTAGTGTTAAAATAACGAAGGTGTGATTGCAAAGCAAAATTGTGGTAGAAATTTCAGAATTTAAGATTTTTTTGTGTGTGTATTTGTGCGTATGTTTTTAAATTACAGCACAGACTCGACTATCAGAACTGTATGATGAAATAGAAAAGGCAGAACAACAAATTTTAAGAGCTACTGAGGAATATAAACAACTAGAAGAAGCTATACAACTAAAAAAAGTATGTAAAAACAAGGCACTGATGCTAAAAGGAAATGCAAAAAATATTAGTTGCCTGCCTATTCATTGAAAGTGATTTTCAAATCAATGCTGCTTGACTACTTACAGAAAAAGAAATTTCAGAATCAAATATGGTTTCTAGTATTTCCCAATTACATTAAATGAAGTTTTCTCTCTTTTTTCTTTTTTTTGAAGATGGATTGAAAATGAGAAATGCTATGAAGAGAGCTACTAGTAATTATTTTAATGATTGAATAAGAATATTTTATTATAATAGCACTGTTCAAAGCTGTATATAGTGAGATTTATAGGTTAAATAATATAAACCCACATAATTCTGAAATAAATAGCTTATGATAATGTACTTAGGAGGAAAAACGTTCTTGTAAATATGTAATTAAGGCCCAATTTTTCTTTAGACTATTTATTTGCTTGACCTGCTAACAACAGCAAGTTTTGGCCTATTTCTCACGCATAATCTTAAAATCTCTAAAATAAGGGTCTAAATTTAGTGAATGTTTATTATAATTTGTTCTATTAATAAAGTGACCTGAAGGGTAGTTCTGGTGGCCTAGTGGCAGGAAGCTGTACTGCAATACCAAAGGTACACGGTTCGAATCCACCAGATGCTCTGCCGGAGGAGGGACAATTTCCTCCTGTACCAGTCAAATCTGATTTGACAGTACATGCACAAAAAATTAAAAAAATAATAATAATAATGTGACCTGGAAAGAGCGATTTAAAATTTTTATACCTCGGTTTTCTTTTCTGTAGAATTAAGTTAACCATACATTCTACATTATATGTTCTGAGGAGTGAAAATTAGTTAAAATGTGTAAAGAATTTAAAACAATGCCTGATGCAAAATACAAGTTAATTTTAAGGCACATAGTCACCATATGTTAGAATCAATTGTTGAGCACTGGTTTATCATTAATTTTATGAATGTTATTCATGAGTTCCACCTTGTTTTTACTAGAATAACAGGCTTCATTTGTAATTACTATTACATTATGAGTTTTTTATTATGAGTGAGCATTAAAGTATAATACATAAAGAGAGTACTTGCATAACTCCCTAATTTTTGTTTTACAAACTATTCTTTAAGTTATAGAATTTGTTTTTCCTCAAATTTATAAATCAGTGTTGCTATGCTCTTAATTGTGTGTTGGGGTGTGGGAGATTAGATTTCAGAAGCAGAGAAAGACCTTCTGTTCAAGCAATTGAGTAGTAGGATACAGCATCTCAATAAATTACGGCAGGAAGCTCTGGATCTTGATGTGCAGATGGAAAGACAAAGACAAGAAATTGCTGAAAAACAGAAGGCTATCAAAGATCTGCAAATAGTGATAGATAGCCTGGATTCCAAAGACCCAAAACATGTAAGTAAACTAAGAAATGCTGATTTGTGCTTTGAAGAGTGGCGTATTGTTCTATCTAGATATTATATATCTTGTGAGTTTTTTAAACCTCAGTGTTCTTTCTGAAATTCTCTTTCAGTTTGGTGCACAAATGTGAGTGATTTATATGTGTGTGACACATGCATGCATGTATATATCTAAAACAAAGCAGCCTAAGGTCTGAAGGAGTGCCTTTTAATAGAATGATGTATGCATAGTACAGCTTTTTCTAAAAAGTGGTTCCGTTTCATTGTATTCAGAGCAGGGGAAATCTACTCTAAAATACCTTTCAAACCTCTTACTTTTTTCTTATTAAAAGTAAGGTAGTGAGATGGAAATTCAGAATTTCTTTTACCTCTTCATTAATCATTCATGCAGTCTTTATGTAAATACTCTACTAGACTGCTGGAGCTAGTTGTTTCAAACTGTTTTGTCTTATTTAAAAAGAAAGAATTTCTCTGAAGAATACCTGCCTGAAATGTGGTCCTGTATGGTCGAGTGGATAGATCACAAGCTCAAGCTCTTGCCTTTTTCTGTCTACCCTGAGATTGCTTCATAGTGTCTTTTCTTTTAGCTAATATTTCTATATAGAAGTAGAAATACTTTATTGGTGTACTTAGACTAATAAGATATATTTTTCAAAAAAAAGCTTTAAGATCTCAAGGTTAAGACAAATCATAGTATTTAACATGGTAAAAGCAATGCAATATATTTACTTTAAAAACTTCACAGATTATAAAATAAATATTTTAGGAAAATACCATACATGTTTTTGATAGGCCAGCTAATTTTGACAAAATATATCTTACCATCATCACAAACATAAAGTCTTTCCCAACAACAACTAGTATGAAAATTGAAACAAAAATAAAACAACATATTTGAACATATATATATTTTAGTTGTTAAGTGCCATCAACTTGAGTATGACTCATAGTGACTGAGCCCTGTCCTGTCCTTTGCCGTTCTTAGCACTTGAGCCCATTGCCACAGACACTGTATCATTCTGTCTTGTTGACATCATTTCTTTCACTCTCCCCTCCACCTTTTTGAGCATAATGTCCCTTCTCAGTGAATAAGCCTCTCCTAACTGCATGCCCAAAGTATGTGAGGTGAAGCTTTGCCATCCTCCTCTCCAGGAGCACATTGGTTGCACATTCTCCAAGACATATCTTATTTGTTCTTTGGGCACAACATGGGATATTCAGTACTCTTCTTCAGCAGCAAAACTCAAATGGATTAATTCTTCTCCTATAATCTTGTTCATCTTGTCATCTTCATCTTTATTCATCAGCCAGCTCTTGGATTTGCATAGCAAATGACAAGAAAAAATCATGGCCTCAGGACTTTTTTAAGGTCCTGACATTAGACTTTTCTGAACCTGTATGTCTCCTGATCTCCTGACTGCTTGTACCAAATCAAGGGTGTTGATTATTAGCTAATATTTCTAAACGTTACCAAAATATTGAATCCAAGCAAGATGAAATCATTAGAAAATGTCAATCTTTCCTCATTCTGTCATGGTGTTCCCTTTTTGCCCAATGGTGATGATTTTTGTTTTCTTAATATGTATGAATTAACAGGACCTGGTGGAGGACGTTGGTATTTAAAAGTCAGATAGGCCCTAAGTCTCCAGTTTGAAGGCTGATGTGTAAAAGTGGTTAGATTCTGGAAGGTGGGATGTTTTGTGTGCAGCCTTTGGACCTGGTGTTAATTGTGTTTGGGATTCACATTCTTTTTTTTTTATTATTATTAATAAATTTTATTAGTTTTAATGAACATTTACAGGGATTCTGGGTTTTCATTCCTTCATTGCTGCACCATTCTCTCCACCCTCCTCCCCAGTTTGTTCTTCTTCCCCGCCATCCGAATGTCTGTTTTAATTGTCCAATTGCCACAGTGCTTGTCAAAGTCAGTTCTGATTAATCTCCTTTGTCGGTGTGTCCTTTGCCATTCCCTATCACTCCTCCCTGAGAGAGACTTCACCCTGATTCATAAGGAAAAGGGGATGGCATATTCTCTTAGCTACTTCCTGCTGAAAAGGGACGCTGTGGGTTTCAGGGTGAAGATCTTCTCTCAGTACTCTAAAGGGCCCCTTTGGCAGTAGGAAACACATAGACTATTATGGAGATTGATTTTGGAATTTAGATGCACTGTTGTTAATTGTGCTTAGCCGTACATGTTCATATCCTTGAAGATATATCATGGGGGTGTTGCAACCTAGAAGACACAAATTTAACTAACAAGTTAAAAGTACATGAGTCAAAAATTATGGAAAAGTAAAAGAAAAGATTCTTTCATTGTTTTACAAACCCTCCCCCAGGTCCCCTCCACCATAGAGCCATCGCTCTAGACTCCTGTGATGACAGAAATACCTAGTCACATATCTCTTTTAAACAGTTTTCTCCCTCCTCTGTTTCAGTGCAATATACATTATTGAACCCATCTTACTCAGTCTCTCCCCAACCCTGAGGTTAGTCCCATTCTACAACAGTGGCATCATGTAATATTTGTCCTTTTGTGACTGGGATATTTCACTCAGCATAATGTTCTCCAAAGTCAACCATTTTGAATCATATTGCATGAGTTCCTTGTTTTTCAATGCAGCATAGTATTCCATTGTGCGAATATACCACAGCTTCTCTAGCCATTCGTTTGTTGATGGGCACTTCGGTTGTTTCCAAATCCTTGCTATTGTGAACAAAGCTGCAATAAACATGGGTGTGCATGGATTCACATTCTTTTAAGAACTGGTGTCAATTTGCTGTACTGAGGTAACTTGGGGTTGCTGTGATGCTGAACACTATGCCTTTGGTGTGTCAACTGCTATAATGTTACCCATGGTGGGCAGTGTTTGGTGGAGCTCTCAGTATAAGACAGGCTTAGAAGCAGGAGTGTCATCCACTTCCTAACAAACATGTCTCTGGAAACTCTATGAACTTAGAGAAACGACAATAGTTAAAGAACAGAGTTCAAGTCTTTTCTTCATAGGTTTGCTATGAATTGTGTTTGACTTGAGGGCACTTAACAACAACAAACAATGTTGGTATGTAATCCATAGTGACAGCTGCAGTCCTTGAACCTCTGCAGCAAGTACCTCAAGTGTTCTTGACTTTCAGCAATCAAGGTTATGTTATCTACACAATGCAGGTTGTTGAAAAGTCTTTCTCCAATCCTGATGCTACATTCTGCTTCATGAAGTCCACCTCCTCAGATGATTTGCTCAGCATATTAAATAGGTATGGAGAAAGAATATAGTCCTGATGCAGACCTTTCAAATTTTAAATTATTCAGTGTTCCCCTGCTCTGTTTAGACAGCAGCTTCTTGGTCAAGGTATAGATTTTGTATTAGCATACTTAAGTGTTCTTGAATTCCCATTCTTCTCAATGTTGGCTATAGTTTGTTATAATCCATAGTCAGATGCCTTTGCATAGTTAATAAAGCACAAATAGACATTCTTTTGGTATTCTCTATGGATTGAGGCTCAATATCAAGAAGACAAAGACCACTGGACCAATTGGCAGCATCAGGATGGATGGTGAAGAGATTGAGATTGTCAACAGCTTTAGTTTGCTCGACTCCACGGTCAACACTCATGGCATCAGCATCCAGGAAATAAAAAAACATATTGCAATGGGAAAGTCAGCTGTTAGGGACCTCTCCAGGGTACTGAAGAGTAATGGTGTCACTCTGGAGACTAAGGTGCATCTGATACAGTCACTTGTTATGCATCAGAGAGTTGGACATGACTAGGAAGGAAAGAAGGATAATTGATGCCTTTGAGCTGTGGTGCTGGAGAATAGTATTGAATATACCATGGACTGTCAAGAAAACAAACAGATTCATCCTGGAGAGGGTTAAACCATGCTGCTTCTTGGAGGCAAGGATTCTGGGGCTTCATCTGACATACTTTGGACATGTTATAAGGAGGGACAGGTTCTTGGAGAGAGACATCATGCTTGGAAGGGTGGAGGGACGGTGCAGGAGGGGAAGATCCTCTATGAGGTGGATCGATTCAGTGACTGGGGTAATCAGGATGGCTGTGTAAGAGGCAGTGCGATTGGCACAGGATAGACCAGGGTTTAGCGCTGTTGTACATAGGATCGCTATGAGTTGCAAGCGACTCGACGGCACATAACAACAACTTTCAGCCAAGATCCATCTGAAATCAGCAGTGATCTACTTGGTGCCATGATCTCTTCTAAACCTACCCTAAAATCCTGCCAGTTCCCTGTCAGTGTGCTTTTCTAGCCATTTTTGGGTGATCTTCAGCAATATTTTGTTTTCATGTAATTATTAATGATATTATTTTATGATTTACACATTCTGTTCGATCATCTTATTGAGAATGGAACAAATACAGATCTCTTCCAGTTATTTGGCTAGGTAGCTAGCTGTCTTCCAAATGTTTTGGCACAGAGTGGTAAACACATCTAGGGCTGCGTCTGATAATTGAAATCTTGTCATTTGCTATCCCATTGATTCCTGGGTCTTATATTTTTGCCAATATACCTTAAATGCAATTTTAACTTCCCTCATCATTATTACATGCCTCTGGAAACTATGAACTTTGATAAATGATGAGTTATGGAATGGCTTCAGGCCTTTTGTTCATAGGGGTGCTATGAGTTGTGCTCGACTCAATGGCAAACAACAACCACCTCACTATTGACTTTTTATTATATGCTACTTTGTTATCTTGGTGACAGAAATGGAACTGGAGAGAGAATGATCGAATTTTGTACAATCAATGACTTATTCATAGCAAATACATTTTTAAGAGACATAAACTCAGGTTATATACTTGGATTTCACCTGATGGTATGCATAGGAATCAGATCGATTACATCC